CGATGGCTTCGAACGCCACGGAAGCCGCGTCATGCCGCGGTAATTAGTACGCACCTTATGCGTGGAAGCCAGCGCAATCTATGGCTACCAACCGGGAGGCTTAAATGCAGACAGTTTCCACATTAGCGCAACAAACGCACACCAGCCGAAATTTTGAAAAGAAAGCAGGACTGATTATGGAGCGAAAATGTCAAACCCACCAAAAGTGGACGAGAATCGGATACTAATGGATATCGATCCAGAGTTGCAACTAGATGCATCAAGCGCGTGAATTCAACATTAGCTCGTATTACAACATCTTCCCAAACCTCCTCAAAGACTGCATTAAAGAGCTGTCACAGCCACTCTAAAAAAAATCTGGAACTCACAGATAACATTGATGCCTTCAGTCTCGGAATCATGTCAAGTAATACAGATTCAAAGAACTGCTGCCTTTCCAAGTACCATTCTTGTCTGAGTTATCGTTATTTACCGATGTAGTTCGGAAAAAGCAGAGCAACCCACTTGCGAAGATTCATTAAAAATGAAATTGCGTGTATCGTTCTACTTCCGGCTGATCCAGGAACAGAGAAAATAAACGAGCCAACAAGAAGGTTTCGAGCGGGCACTATTTTCAACTTATGAATCAAGGGATTGGAGGGCAGTTGAACACTGAGAGTATAGTCAATAAAGACAGGAAAGTACTTTCTGTAATATCCTGATAAGCCGCATCATAGAAGCTCTGTGGCTTAGGACCAACACCCGAGCTGTAGGATCAACCCTCGCTCACACGCTGCCCTCACGCACAAAGCAGCCTAGGTGAAGGTTGTATCTCGCGAGAAAATAACGCGCTCTAATGGCGCATATGCGCCATGCAGCGTTGGCCCCACCTGTAAGCTTTCAGGATACGGCTTATCTATATGAAGTCAGGGAAAAAAAAGATACGATATTACAATAAAAATGTACTAGAAAATCCGAATAAAACCTCACCTGAAGACTTGCTCTGCAAGAACAAATTTTGAGACGAAAAATTCATCACCAATGTGATCGCTGGGACTATCCAATGGAAGATCAAGAAATGATACTACGTCATCATCAAATGAGCCCGGAGCAGAGTCGTGAGTACTCCTTACAAAAAAATCTCTTTAAAAAGTAAAGTTATTTGGAAAATACCAACTTTAATTGCTCTTCTACATTATATGCCAATTTAGATTGCTGCGGGCAGGACGACTCGGCTAAGGGCTGAGGTGACAAGCAGAAAGCGCTCAACTCGCTATGCGTCGAGATTGTACCTCCTATACCAGAGTCAACGCATGAAGTGGTTAAAGCTGGAAAACATAAGATATATATGCAGAAGGTTTATACCCATTAAAAATATGGAACCGTTACTGCCTTTATCGTTGTCCCTGTCCTTTCCGCCTAGTAGTTTTTCACAAGTGTTACTATCTTCATCGGAAAGTTTTGCAAACGAGGACGAGCTAGTTTTGCCACCAGTTGTTGAACTACCCGATGTATTTCTGGCCATCACGGTACTATAAATCTTTCGCAAAATCAAATCAACAGAATGAATTTCGTAACCGTGATTTCTGCTAACATCAACTGACCCTGTTTCACTTGAGTCTTGATTTTGAGCAGCTTCAGCTAATTCCGACGACAATAAGGTGGAAAAATTTATCAGATCTATTGGAGTTCCAGCCATCGGAGCAGAAACTTCTGTTGAGTCAGCCTGACAAAAATACATTATAGATCGTCTTTAAAATTTCTACCTTCTCATGTCCTTCTAGTACCAAGTGCGAGCTATCTTGCATGGTTAGTGTAGTAGCAGATGAAGCAGATTGTGTACTGGAGTTATGATCCTAAACACTAGACATAGAGATTATTGCAAATCCTGCTACCAAAAAAATGTTCAGCAACAGTTTAAACACTTCTGTAGTGTCCCACTTTTGCGGATAAAAAGAAGAAAGTAGTTGTTCCTCCGTGCCTCATTCGGGAGTGCTGTACTATCCGTAGTATCGCGAACATGCGATGCACGCCATTCGCTGCCACTGACAGAGAGCTGCTTGGCACAGCCCACTTGAAGAAGCATGTCAAAGAAAGCAACTGGCGTGCTGTTGCGCGCCACGGATTATACAGCACTCGCGGATCAACCTTGGAGGAACAGACTATTGCGATGGAAACACGTACATAGGAACAACGCTTGAAAGTTTCTATTGGAAACGCGCGTATATGACGTTGTAGATGCTGCTGCAGATACTCAAACTAATGGATAGAGACAAGAAATGCATGCACAATCTGTTCATTCAAGACTGTCACTATGTAGTAATACCATCTGTAGCGGTTCACTGGATATTCAGAAATCATTAGTTATAAGTGATTTGATATACACATGCAGCAACTGAAGTGATAGCGACTGCGGAAGTTACTCGAGTTCTACTATTATGATTATGTCGTACTTGTAAATGGGAAGAACAAAAATTACCTGCGTTCTAGAGTCTGTCAACGTTACGTTGGAGTCGGTGCCGCTGTAGCTACTGTCTACCATGTATTCATCCAAGTAACGCAACTCTTGGAACGTATATCCACTACGGCTCGACAGGTGATACTCATGATACATGGTAGAGTCATCCATGAACATGCTATCATACATTTCTGTTGTGCTTATCAGGGCAGTCTAAAAATTAGTATATACAAGCACGGCAATAACTAGATAACTGGAAATTTGAACATGCTGGGAAAAAAGATGAGACATTGAGACCTGCAAAGGATCATCGATATCCTCAAACTGAACGGACTTCGTAGACATGGAAGACTCCAAACTCTCAGCATCGTTGACAGACCCTTCCTCTCCACTCAAATTCACAGGAGAGACCGAAGATGATGGAGAAACCTGCAACGGCATTTGATGCAGCATCCACAGCAT